CGAAGGGTCCTTCCTTGAGATAGAAGAAAGGGTCCATCAAAGGTCGATTTTCGCTCTTGCACAAATGCAGACTAAAGTCAGACAGATTGGAGTCTTGCACGGCTGGTAAATGATTGGTGACCATTCAGAACAGATGCATTTGAAAGGACCTGCCCATGAAGATGCACTTGGAGTTGGTGGTGCGAGAAGGTCGATCCAATCAGCAACGCTTCGTGGGGGCCTCCTGATCTGGCATGTCGGCGGGAGGAGAGTTTGGAGCTTGGGAATGTGGTGCCATGAGCTGTATGGCTTTGATCTTGGTGTTTGCTGTTCAGCTCATTTTCTGATGACCAAGCGATTCATTGAGGATGGGAAGACCTCGGAGACGTGGAACTTGAATTCAGAGAACCCATGGCCACGGAAATCACCCTGTCATCAGAAAATACGTGACAGTGAGGAGTGAAAACTTGTACTTTCGAAAGAGATAGGGAGAGGGTCTGAGGAACTTTGCAGCACAACGGCAAACCAGCTATTAGGTTGGAGGCCATCGCTATTGGGTTGGAGGCCATCACTTCTAGGTTGGAGGCCATTGCTATTAGGCTGGGAACTCCAGCTATAACTCCAATGGTTCCGGTTGAGTCGCCGTGCCCAAGAGGACCGAAAATGACTCATCACCGTACCAAGCAGAGAGTCTCTCTAAGCAGATTGGGTTCCAAGTCGCTCAACTGGTTGGGCAAAGCCAGTGAGTAGCTGGTTGGGCTGAAGAGAGTTGCCTCCGCACCTCGAGGTGCAGCGGCTCCAGCGGAAACTCGGCCACCCTGAGTTCTTCGAAGGCCGACGAACAGAGACCACCATCGAGATGACAGTCTGCACGGTCTAACCGCCGAACAGACTTAAGACATCTGGAAGACGATTCTTACACAGCCATGGAAGAAGATTCCCCAAGCCCGGAAGCGCCTGGAATTCCAGTCGCTGAAGGCTTTGTCACTGAAACCAACGCTTCCAGAGCTTAGGCAGCTCAGGTCACTTGTTCAGGAAACACCAAAGATACTAGAGACATCATCCACTGGATGCGTTGTTGGGTTCCCACAGGCTTCCCAGCCTTGTTCTTCGCTGCCCTCGTTACCCATATATTTAAAAGTGTCTTACAATCCCCAAAGCCACAAGGCCTAAAGCTATCTTGGAACCCGCCAGCAATGCAGCGTTCAGCGCCACCCTGCAAGCAGGTGCCATTCATGAACAAAAATGCTGCTGAAGGTACCCAATTTACCAAACATACTTTCAACACCGAGGAATGAGTCCTCATACTTCCCAGCGGCAGGATTACGCCCACCAGTCTGTTTCTTTGGATCTGCACGAAAAACGCCTGTGGCTGGACGGAGCCTAGCTGGGCCTCGTCGGGCATGCAGGGGCCCTCGCAGGTTTGCTGCATTTGGGCGATCATGATGCAGGGTCCAAGGTGGAGCTCTACTATCGCATCACTGAGGAGCGAGCCGCTGGGGGCACTGGTGGTGCTTGATTGCAAGATTGAAACCAGTGAAGTGAGTTGTTCCCTTAGGGGAGGCCTTTTTAGATCTCTAGGGCACTCTCAACTCATGGCGCTGTGAGGATGTGAGCAAGGCTCCTTTGAAGATTGGCGAGTGGAACGCCTCTTGGACAGAAGCCCTTGGCGTCATGCGTGACACCAGAAGTTTACGACCTCCAGAGTTTTCATTCCAAGCCCAAAAGCCAGAGACGTGATTGCCACATTCGATTTCTGTTGGTGTGCAGCCTTCAATCCACACCTTTCATGGACGTCTTTCATTGCAAACACACAAGGACTTCGCATGTCCCTTCTCCGTAGCGAGGTGGGGCGGTTGGATGCCTTGGATGATGGCTAGTGTGGATGACCCAGTCTCAGCTTCGCCGATCTGTACAGTTCAAAGTGGTTTCGTGAAATTCAGGTGGCAGGTGACTTGCAAGCTTCAGTCATTCTTGCAGCTTTCACTTGACCATTCCGTCGCAAACCATGCTCATCAACGGTTTTTGGCTCTTGAGGTTTTTACAGGGTTGTAAATGTTGCGATCTTGATTTTTGTGAACAGGAACGGGCAGTTCCTCTCACCATAGAATCTATCACATGGACATGGATGGTTGGGTTGCAGCGTCAACCTTGGTGCTCGCTTGGGGGCTGCTGCACCTGCGCCTCACTACGTCAGACTTGGGAGACCTGAGAAGATGGATCGAGTCCCTTATGGCCGCACCACGCCAACAGGTGGATGTGTTGAAGGATGTCCGGGTGGAGGAAGAGATGATAAAGATCCGCCAGAGCAACTACAAGTTCATCACGCGTTGCTTTTCTCATATCACCTTCCTGGTAGGTATTGGCCTGGTCTGTCAAGCCATTGTAGCACCCGGGCTCGACACCATATCCTTTGCCGCCTGTTGCATCCTGGCCTATGTGCAGCAAATCATGCTCGGGCAGGGCATCGTGCGTTTGACCCCTCAGCGGCTGAAATTCGTGACCATTGTCATCCATACTCTCCACTTTTTCCTCATTCTAGGCTCTGCCGGCTCCGAAGGTGGCTTTCAGTTTGCCGTTTGGCAAGGCTTTCAATGGGTCCTACGCTTCTCATTGGTGGTTGCATTTCTTGATCCTTGCGTCTCGATTCCTTTCCAATTTCTCTACACACTAGGAGAAATATCAGTCTACTTTGTGGTTTTCGAGCCATCACGTGTGCATTTGGGATCCTTGTTCATCAGTCAATTCTTCATGATAGCCATCAACATTGCCTCCTCGGTGTACTTTGATTTGTTGCTGCGGCGGAGAATCTATGCCCTCCTGGACACGGCTGACGCAGAGTCTTTGGTGTCCAGCTTCCGGCAGATGCTGAGGGGTGTTTGTGATGGCGAAGTCCTCTTGGATAGCCACATGAATGTTGCCCAGGAAAGCGATTGTTTGAAGCATCTGATTCTCACCAGTGTAAGCCTGAAGGGACGATCCTTTGAACGTCTACTCGTTCCTGATGAAGTGCCTCGCTTCAGCGAATTCATCAAGTCGTCCACTGAGTCATGTTGTGCACCAGAATCCAAGCATTCTTCAACTCCTGGATGTCTACGAGTTTCTTTTCGTGGATCAGCAGGTATTAGGGTTGCAGCAGACATCTACCACGTACCCATTTCAGGCCTCTTTGGAGAGAGTGAGCCATATCACTTGATTGCCTTCAAAGAGGATCTCGAGTGTCGGCCTCAACCAGATGCTGCAGAAGATTCAGTTCCTGGACAGCTGCGGCTGATGCCTCAGAGCCACACTGGGGACCTGCTCTCCAATCACTCAGACTTCACTTCTGTCATCTCAGGTAGCACCGGAAGAGGCTCATGTACTCATGATCATGGCTTTCCAGAACTGCAAGAAATGACTTTGCTGGTCGACGCAGACACTCAGCTTCAGGATGTGCAAGAGGCACACTTGAAGTTCATGCGTTGTGAGGAACCAAATGATCTCGCTTCAGCGGATTCCAGCATGCCTTGCTTGCGCAAGCTCACGAAACCGACCGACTGGGAAAAGATCCGTTCGCGGGTTGGGAGGTTTGCAGAGAGGGCTTTGCAGGATCCTACTGTTCAGTCAAGAGTCATCAAACGGATGAGTTTGCAGCTTCCCGGCCATTTTGGTCGGGTCATCGCAGAAGAGGCAACTCTCAAACGATATCCCCGAGATCGCAAGGTCTGGCTGCACATGAAAGGCTTTCGCCCAGAGAAATCTCGGCGTGCAGAACCGTTCATGGATGGCATTTGGGAGGGTGGCATGAGTCGCAGACAAGGTGCAAAGAACCCCCCATGAGCCAGCAGACATGCATACTTGATTTAATCATTCTTGTGCTTTTTTCGTATCCCTTGTGGTTTTATCCTCAAGGGCAAGCGAGCCTCATATTGCTTAACCTCACGCATCTCTGCAAGGAAGGGAAGCTTTTCCACTCTGTTGCAGCAGACTGGATGTGGAAACACGAGGAAAAAGGGAGTGTGTGAGCGGGTGCATGTCACATACCTGCGTGCCTATATTAACCTCGAGGAACTTTTGCAATTGTTGGCTATCCCACATCCCATGGTTCCACTGTACAGATGTAAGTTTCATGATTGAACCCACCAGTTCAAGGATCAACCACATCTGAGGTGTGACTGGACGACCTTTGATAGTGAGCGCTGTCAGCCAGCGTGGTCTTGGCCTGCTGCAACAGAAGCATGGAGACAGGATGAAGGATAGAGGAATGTCAAGTTTCATATCAGAGATGTTGGTCGGCAATGCCAAGCATCTAATTGAATATGTTCCAAGTAAGAGCGACATCGCAAGTTCTCAGCAGGACCATTTTTGTGCTGGTCCTAAAGTGCTTGAACATGGGACAGGAGGGCTGGTCATTTCACATGAGCGATTTTCATCAACAGCCCACAAGACAGAGCAGCTGGGAAGCTTTCCAACGCTCACCCAAGAGAACATGAGAACTGACATGAGAACATGACCCATTGGATCCACAAGACCCACTGGACCCACTGTCCAGAATCTCAACTGAATGGCTTGAACAACAAGCGATTCGGGGGTGATTTGGCACGACTTGCTGAAAGCTGGCAAGTTGCTGCTTAGCCACCTCGTTGCAAACGATGAGGTCGGAGCAGGAGATTTTCAGCATGAAAGTACAAGGTCGATCGCCTGTGCGCATCCTTTCTTCACAAGGAGTGCTTCATATGTAGCTTCTAGTGATTATAATGTTACAGTAATTTTCAAAAAAAATCTAGGATTAGTGCAAGCGCTCCTTGAAGAACCGTGAGCTATCCTGCGTCCAGTCAGTAGTAGCTACTTGTAGGTACTAGCTACCTAGCTCCTACTAGCTACCTAGCTACTAGTGGCCTACCCCCCAAAAAGAACAACAGTTGGTTTTAGCTTGTGCGCTCAACTTCTGGTCATTTGCTCAAGGGCTGTTTGGGCGCACAGAAAGAGGACCCAAACGGGGGCGATCGCAGCAATCAGCGAACCGCGCCCATTTTGCAGCCATGTCAGGCAAGGCCATTCACCTATGGAGTCCAAGCTACTTCTCAACGCTCTGTGTTGTCATGTTTCGTCGGCTCGTATCAACCCAGAAGCGGAAAACGAAGACTTCTGAACGAAGTTCTACATAGCTCGTAGCTGGTCACCAAAAAGACCTAGAGGTTCGCCACCATAATGCTGATCAAACTGAGGCTATTTGGAGTAGATCACGTGACTTCTCACTTGAATGGCTATCAATCTAAGGAAGATTGGACGTGTCGAACTTGACCGGACTGCACGGACAATGGACATTGGATTTCAATCGACCAAAAGCAGCACACGAAGCCTGTTGCCGCCAGTTGCCGCTGCGAGCGAATCGCAAGACGATTGACCAAACATCTCCAGTGATTGGCGCCAATAGAAAAACACCTACAAGACTTTGGATTTGTGTGGTGCATTCGAATGGCTACTGAAGCATGGTTGAATGGACTACCAGTAGACGAAGATGCCTTTCCAACATGCTAATTTTAGTTCATGAGCCCGTCTCGCAGAGTTCAAAGACCCAAGGGCGTTTCCGATCTAGTCGCTCTGACCTGCTGGCAAGGCCGCAACACTCGCATGGCACAGTGGCTGGACTACAGGTCGTTGGCATTGACGACTTTTTCTGTGAGAGTTGATGGGTTTGCTTTTTTGGGGAATCTCGACGTTGAGACACACCCAGGTGACTTTCAAGAGCAGACTAGCTGGCTACCGCACCCTTCTTGTGGAAGGGCTCGTCTGCCAAGGTTTTTTTGGTCGGGAACGCGTGGAGGATTGACCTCGGAGTCCGTCGGAGTCGGCCACCTGAACTCATCCGCTTTAGATGCTGGGAGTCTCTGGTTCAGACACACCAAAAGTTGATATGTCAAATTACAAGTATCAGATTGGTATCTGACTATCAGATGCATGTTTTTGGGAACAACATGGAATAGCTAGAACAACTTGGAGCTAAATTATTGAAAAAGTCTGTGAACATCTGTGAACCTGGTTCATTTTCGTCGGGGATCCATTGACAGAGCTGTAGAGCTTTGCCTGCACTAGTGGGGTAGCTGGAGAGCGTAGGACCTCCCTTTGCAAGCCGCCACGAAAGCAATATGCCAGGGTCCGAGTGACCATCTCGGATGCACGCATGCTGGTGGGCACCTTCATGGCAGGGGTGCCAAGGAAAGACCCAGCACAATGTGACGTTGGGGCCTTTGAGATTGTCACTACTCGTACTCGTAGTCGCCAAGCAAAACCCATGGGTGACCAAGCCCATCAACTATGGATACTGTGGGCATGTCGAAAGAAGGGACTTCAAGCCTTCAGGCAACTTCACTTTTGCAGTGGTCTTTGGTTGTTTGATGGGTGCTTGCGATGCGTCAAACCGGCAAACCATACTACACTGCCAAAGACCTGCATCAACTGCAGTGAAGCCAAACCATTGAAGGCCTTTGACAAGTACATGAACGTCGTTCTCGCAGACTGCGAGGAATTCCGGAAGATCAAGTCAGCCCGACTGGTTCGGATGCTTTTGACTTGATTGTTTGGCCTTACTTGGAGCTCGGGGCAGTATCAGCACATGCTTGAGCTTTGCAATCAGGCCTCGCACGTCCAATTTCAGTCTCGCCCACAAGCTCCCTTTTGAGCCCATTCGTCCTATCCTATGCAAGAACTTTCAAGCCTCAGATTTACATGTTTCGACCATCGTTATTTTTTGGTCACCCTCAAGGAGTCATGCCCCTTCCAAACTTTCCTTCATTCAAGTCCTTTGTTTCTGGTACGAACAAACCGGACCCTGACTTCATGAACGAAACTGGTGATTAGGCTATGGCCCATACGGCTCAAAAGCTACCATCCAAACTCACTGAGAAATGATGGCGAAAGGAAACATCGTCTAACACTTGTGGTTTTCCGGGGTCTTATCTTGTTATTTGAGCCATAGCCAGCAGACTTCCGGCTTTTGCAAGAATCGCCCAGTTTCTGGAAGCCGACCATTTGCTGCATGATTTGGCTCGAAACAGTCGTGGTGTCCTTTCGGGTTTTAAGGCGTTGTCCTGTTTCCGGGGATGGACCATGGACGAGCTTCTCGTCAAAGCATCAGATGTTCGGGAGCCGGGCATTTGTATTAGCTGGCGAGTCCATTTGGTGGGTCACCTCTGCATTTCGAGGTGCCATTCTCAGTGCGCTGCACCATCGCCATTCTCAGCTGCGCTTTTAGCCAAGGCTTGATAGTTGGACCTTAGTTGATGGCCCTCAGAGTCGAGAGCCACTTGAAGACGCCAAGAGGCGGGAGCAGCAGAAATGCCACTGGGCTGACAGATGACGTAGAACTCAGTGCATCCCACTCTCTTCACTGCCCCAAACTTCTTCAAACCTGCAATTGAAACCACCTTCGGACGCTACATTCTCCTCTATCATGCTATGACCAGAGTGAGTTTTCACTCTTCAGAGCACCCACCCCACCCCACTCTTCATGGTCTCTTACCGAGGTAAGAAAGAGTTTGACCAGGCCACCCGGGCCATCAGTCAGCTGATTACGGCCCAGGGAGACTTACGATCTGGCACCCGGGCAGAGCAACCCAGTGGTTGGAGGGAGTTGGAAATATTTAGTTGGGGAAGAAACGAAATGTGGCGGCTGTGTCACTCACGATCAATTACAATGAATCACCTTCTTGGATGTCCGGGAAGTGGTCATTCACATGGGAGTCAGCAACCTGGGGACCTTGGGAATCGTTTTATAGACTCCGTGCCTCCGAATCTACCCGAATCAGAAGACCTTCGGTTCAATAGAGAGCCTCCTTTCGGATTCATGTGAATCAGAATCTTGACAGCACAACATCTGTTGTTTTTGATGCATGGAAATACCACAAAATATCAGTGGCTCACACCACTGAGGCCGGCTGAAAATCCATGAGCGTGATGAGATTCGCCGGAGCTTCAGCGTGCCGTCCACGGAAGTGAGGCTTCAGGCATTCATTTGGGAGAGCCCTCCAGTGATCCGCACAGCGACGCAACACTTCTTCAAGACGGGGCAGAATGTGGTCATCACCGGACTGAAACTACGGGATGGTGCACCTGAGAGAGTGGGGGACTTGGTGGAAAGCATCAGTGGAGATCATGCTTCTTGTCGAGATAGCGCTCCGGCGCTCCAGGAGTTTCTTCCAGGGTTGAGTTATTGTAAGGGCTTCGCCCGGGTGCCGCCGACCCCTTTTCAAGAGGAGTGTAGCATGTGTAACTGAAGGCGTTAGTGTCGTTCCGGTGGTTGCCCGTCTGCGGAAAGAAGATGGGTGTTCTAGCCTTAGGCGTGGCCTCGGACAGGCTAACTGTGGCCTGTGCTAAAGCCCACAAAGGTGGAGATGCCAATGCCAATAAGGTTGCACTCTGCGAGGCGCCGAGAAGCGTCTGAGGGGGGCCGTCGCCTTCGGAAGCCTAGAAAAGAAGAGGGTGGCCTCGGCGGTTAGCATCG